CAGGACGCAGGACCATCACTAAGTTAAGTATGTCCAAATCCTGAAAGGGATTGCTCATGTTTGCAGTCACAAGTTTTTGTTATTTTGTGAGGTAGTTGTTTTCAATTCGATTAATTGCAAGATGTTTTAATTTTGGTACTGCGCTACTTTACTACCCCACTTCGTATTAATGCACACTTTCCTCCTCCTTTTCTTTTCGTGTCAGATTTTCTTCATATATTATTAATTAAATAATTAATTATTACATAGTATTTCACTCCCTCAGTCCTTTCTTCCTTTTACTAACTATCCGACGTTCAACGTTTTCCTCTGTTCGTTTCTGTCAGACCCTTCTGATCTCTCCCAGTGGCACAGGGAACAATGCTTCTCCTTCACCTGCAAAGCTGCCAGCCATGGATTTTACCACCAACTTACACCCATCTCTCTTCAATCACTTGCAATTCCAGGCACACCCTTATGTTCTCTCTTTCTCTCCATACACACCATAGATATCTAAATATGGATTTGCATGTCCTCAAAGTAGATTACCTTAGAATTGGTCTTATGGGTTTTAGATGAGTGTGTTATACGGAGAGTTTTCTGTTTAATTGCTTGTGATGCTTCACAGGAGGTATATGCCCTGTCACTTCAGCTGGATCAAATCCTCAGCATTACACATGCGTGGTCCTAGAGCGCTCGCTGGAGGTGAGCCTCGTGAATCAACTGCTGCTTTATTGAGTGTACAAGATCTTAAACTTATCAATGTTAAGTTTCTGTAGGGTAAGATGTTATTGACTTGTTTGCCGTTAAACTGAATGGAGGTTTATGTTCCTACTTAAAATTGTCGTTTGTGGCACTAAATTTCACTCAAACAAAAAGCTCAAGTTCAATTTTGTATATCTAAATTGGCCTAATTCATTTTTCCTAATCATTTCTGTCACTTTACGAGTTACCGCTTTGTCTCAAACTTGTAACTTAGTGTTTGACTTGGTATTATGTTACTCATTTCCTAATCATTGGTATTTCTTGTAAATGGCTGATGAGATTCTTTCTTTCACTTTCTTTAACCCTGTTCTGCTTCTGGAGTCGGCTTTTAACTCACTAACCTGCCGCTACACATAGTTTTCTTCCTCTGCTCTTCTCTTCTTCTGTCAACAAATATTTATATAGAACTTTTAGTTCCATGAGTACAGATTTTTTTTGACAACTGATAGTTGTGATATTCGTAATTTCATATTTCATTTAGGAGGATGGCTTCAGCTTTCCAGTGTTTTCAAACATTTGGGACTAAAAAGACATTAATTGTCATCATGTGAAGTAGATAAAATGTCATGTGATTTAAAGGGATAGAGTCAAGTCTAATAATTGAATAGCATAGGATAGAGTCAAGTCTAATATTGAAAACCGTAGGATAGAGTTAAGTCTAATATTTGTATGCCATAGGACAGAACCAAGTCAAATTATTGAATTTAGTCTGAAGCAGAGGTAGTACTTTATTACTTTTCTTCTTACGTGCTTCTTATTCGACCTCTATTTTTTTGTGAAGGCTTTTGCATGTGATTTGATAAGTTAGTTACTTGTTCTGTGCTAGTTCTGATGTATTGCACTGTTCTCTTCTCATGTTTGTGAAACTATAAAACAAGTGATCCAACTGGGGTCACAATTCTTAAATTCTTTAAATCTGTTAAATCGTGTAGTCGTACTTCCGTCTCTTATTTTTATTCTATCAATGGTTTCAATTGAGTCGTCAACTATGTTGTACTTTAAGCTTTAGTTGTTGCGGTTGTTTGTCAGTTTATGATGAGACACATGTTTTTGCTGTTTTTACTGATATTGAAATCTCCTGTTTGAGCCTTTATCGTTTTTCTTACAATGCTAGCTTCATAAAAAAGAAAGGAGATCACTTCCACTTGCTTTCAGATTGGGCTCATGATATATACATCACACACCAAGAAACTCATGCAAGTATGAAAAGATTAGTGATTCACATTGCCAATACCATAAACCTTCGTTTCCATCATATATTGGGCTATATTTATTTATTTTTTGTGTGTAGATCTTAGTGGATTTTTCAAGATGGTTATGGATTGATCTCTATCTACTTTTTTACAAGTTTAAATTGTTTTTTCTAAAATGTTCTTACCATGAGTTTCAACACTGTCTTAGTGGAGTTTTTTTGATTTTTTTTATCTCTAATAAGCTATGTTTATTTTTTAACCCTTCTTTTCTTTTGGGAGAACTTAGTTTTGTTGATTCATATTTAGATATTTTCCTTTTCATCATCCATCTTTCTGTTTCCTGTGATCTATTCTCTTTTTTGTTTGATTTGAAAAAAATTGTGGATTAATTTTATTGGCTGTTCTTACCTAGAACTAAAGGTGAAAGGATGAAATCCATGTAGGGAGACGGGAGGTTAATTCTCACAGGTTAGAAGTTAAGTCAAGTTCGAACACTTACAAACATGTCCCAGAAAATTTGGGCACCGAGTTTTTTTGGATGAAGAAAAATAATAGAAGTTCTCAGGTGAGAAATTTATGATAAAACTTGGAAAATGGTATGAATTTATTATAGTAACTGTGTTATTTTCATTTGATTAAGTGCACGTTCTTCCTTCTGTTTATGTTTCATATATACCTTTTTCAATTTTCTTTTCAAACATGCAGTTCAAGGTTGTATTTGATGATGAATGTTATTTATTGCTAAAGTGTTAATATTACTGCATTTTCTCCCTTTCCTTATTTTGAAGCATGTTGTGCACAAGAACAGCTATAATTTAGTCACTAAAAGTCCTTTACATTATTCCTGTCAATAATGTTTGATAGTGGGGTAAGTAAAATCAATGATAGTGATATTGGCTAAAAGAAAATCCTTGTATTCCATGAATCACTGTTTCTTTGTGCAACTAAGGATTTTTGAAATATGTTTTCTACAGATTATTTGCTAAGTCAATATCATGGTTGTATCATGCTCAATTATGTTGGATAAATTGATGTATTATTGGATTTGTCTTGCTAGACTTTGCAGCACTTAGTGCTAACTAAAACTCTCAAAATACAATATGTGCTGCAGGGTCAACAGGCTGGAAGCATGGTACAATTTATGTCTTTTTACATCATACTGAGATTGACCCATAAGCAGTTGTGTGATATGGTGATAAAAGCTGGCCAGGCACTTCTTCCATACTTGTGTCAGACTCATATCGCAACAAGCTTGCCTCTTGCTTGTGTTTCTAATGCCTTGAATAAACCTAAGCCTCTTAATTTAGATGTGTCCTTGCCTTCTTTTCATGATATTAGATGGAGCTTAGCACGGATGTTATACTTATTAAACATCCAGCTTGAGCGAAATGTTGCCACGTAAGTCAATCATTTCATATATTTGTCTTTTGAATTTTTTCTGTTTACTGGTTAATAAATTTAATGCTCCTCACTTTATTAAAGCCTATTACTAGCATTGATTACATATTTTGGTGTGTTTGGGTATAAGATGATTATACACATACATACACATATATAGCAGCAATAATATGTTATGACATGGTTATGAGGCAAATGATTTGTTATATATGTCATCTTGCAAATGATTGGCATTAGTGTGCACTTTTAGTGCATTGTCTTGCTAAAATGGTTTATTTTACACCAAGTAACTAATGCTATAATGTTCACAAATTTACTCTAAACAGAATCCAACTTTCTTTGTTAAAGCTTTTGGGATTTACGGTCATCTATTCTTGAATTAATTGTTAATCTGGTGGATCTGAAATTGCTAGTTTACTTTATATTATAAGAAAGTTTGTTAGCAGCTTTTGGTAAAACTATTGAGCTCCTAGGAAAGAAAACTGGATTATTCTGGAGGAACATGACTATTTTTCAGGGATTTAGTGCATATGGTTAGGGATGGAGAGGAACACAAAAGTGTTGCAGGAACCATCCATTCTTCAAAAATAGCTCTGGGTAGGAAATTTTGCATTGCTTCCTTGGGTGCTTTGCTTTCGAGCACCTGCATTACTTTATTGCAGCAATTCCAAAGGACTAAGGAGGTTACTTATTTGTGGCCAAGAAGACTAATTGAAAATTTTCCGAACACTTTCTAGAGTATGTAAAATGAGCGGCTTCATTCTATGAATGGAGCTAGTGGGTCTTGTTTATGTTACCAACTACTAGTTATTTAAAAAAAAACTAATGATTTATACATACTTGTTTGAAACAATCATATGGACTCTTTCAGGTTCCTTGTGGTGCTCCTAGTGGCATGCTTCTCATTTGTTATTGTTGGTGGTGTTATGTTCTTCAAGTTAAGGTAATCATAGTTAGGTCACTGTTTTAAGAGTGTTCTGACTTCCAAGTTCAATTTTTATTTCTCTCCTTTGCCAACAACTATTATCTGTTGTTATCTATATTTGTTAATCTAGATCATTTTAAATTATCCAGGGGCAATAAAAATTCTCTGGAAGATTGTCTCTGGGAAGCCTGGGCATGTCTGTGTTCATCATCTACTCATTTAAAAGTATGTTGGTTTTGTTGTGGACTTTATAATCTGGGTTTTTATTCATCCCTTTTACATTGTTTATAAGAATTTACCGTGTAACAAAATCATACTTTTTGTTGATCTACAGCAATCAACACGTGTTGAGCGTGTTGTTGGTTTACTTCTAGCAATATGGGGCATATTGTTTTACTCTCGACTTCTAAGTACGATGACTGAACAATTTAGGGTAAATTCTGAAGCATTAAGCATTCATTAAGCAATATTTTCTTTGTGTGCTATTAATTTTCAGTCATCTTAACAGAGTAATATGCAAAAGCTCAGGGAGGGTGCCCAAATGCAAGTTCTGGAGACTGATCATATCATTATCTGTGGGATGAATAGTCATCTTCCCTTCATATTAAAGCAGTTAAATAAGTATCATGAGTTTGCTGTTCGCTTAGGCACAGCTACTGCTAGGTAAATGGTTCAGACAAGGTAGTTGTCATTGCCTTTAACTTGTGTCCTCATTGCTGGCTTCTGCAATATGGTTTTTCATCTCTGTGCAGGAGGCAGAGAATCCTTCTTATGTCTGATCTTCCAAGAAAACAGATTGATAGGATAGCTGACAATATTGCAAAAGATTTAAATCATATTGATGTCCTTAGCAAGAGGTATCAATGCTGGGTAATTTCCTATTTTAATCATGGAAAGACCTTTTTGTAGAATTATTATTTGTTTCTACTCTTAAGCCAGCCACGACTTTTCTGCTCCATTTGATTGATCTTGGTAAATGTTCCTTTTAGAGAATGTAAAATAGAGTTGGAAAGTGAGTGCCTTAAGATTATAAGATTATTATTTGTGTTTAATTCCATTTTATTATGAGAGCAACTTAGTTCCTTTAGCTTCAATTTTCAATTATAGAAGTCAGGTCATCGACACAATAATATTCAGCCCTGCACTTCCACTGATATCTGACTGAGAGATTAGAGCAACAAAAAGAAACTATTAACATTATTATATCTCATCACCACAGTAAGAGTAAGATGTACCCTAGAAAATCCAAGCAGTCTGCTATAATCATATACACCACAGAAACACTGCACCATCATGGAACTTTCCTTTTTCTGGCCCTTCCAAGCCTTTCAAAGTTAATAAGAATTAATGACTGCACTAAACAATTCATTAGACACTTCACAAACCAACATTTAGAAAAGCTCTCAATTTTTCCCACACTTGGTTACAGAACTACGTAAATTTGTGAGTGTTTATTACTGTTGTGTAAAAGCAAAAGTCATGAGTCATTCTCGTATGTTGAATTGATTTGAAACTTATTTTCTTTCATGTCTCAAATGTTTATTAGACTTAACATAATGGTTAAATTTTACTAGAATAATATGGTTTGTAGACCACATTTCTAGAACAGTGCCCAAAGATATACTACAGAAACTTTAATTATTTAGACCCCTAACTTCCTAAATAACTACCTAATGGCAAATAAAGCACAAAGGCTATATTTCGGGCTTTCTGAGTCTTGGATTGCTTCTTTTTCCTTCTCACATAAATTTTTTGAGGTCTAATTTGAATGTTTTGGGCTTTACAGTTGCAGTCTTAGTTTAACAAAATCATTTGAAAGAGCAGCAGCCAACAAGGCACGTGCAATAATTATACTGCCAACAAAAGGGGATCGGTAAGAGTTGATCTACTTAGCTTGTTATCGTTAGGTGGTTATAGAGCAGCTTAAATTGAAATCAGTAGACTTTTTTCCACGAATTTATTATTGAAAAGCATTCGGGTAGATATTGATGATAGAGAAAATTGCTATTTTGTAATTTTACTATAATTATCTTAGGAATAGTGGTTACTGGTTTTGAATTTTAATTATTAGTGATTGCTAAAGTTATTATAGGGGAAAGGGTGAGAAAGATCCGAGGGAGAGAGAGAGACATCTGGAAGAGGGAATAATAGCTAATTTGAATGATTAGGCACTATGGGTATGTCTTTCTTTATGCAAAGCTAGAGTCACTAGTTATTATATGCCCAGCACATGTCCTGATGAATCAGAGACTAATTTGAACACTTCTTCTCAAGCTAGATCACAAATGTTGGTCAAGCACTGCTTGTTACATCTAAACTAATTCTAATTCCAGAGCAAGACTTTGTAAACAAATTTTTCAGTTGCTTGATTACTAGATATGCTTAGCAGCCTGATTATCACTGCATAATTACACTAGTAAGGTGTTTGGCAGAAAATGAATCAACATCAGCTCACAAGTTGTTTTTGCCAAAGTATGATATTCAGCTTCAGCACTGTACCGAGTACTGATTATTTTGGTGCATAGGATATGTTATTAGAGTTAGAGCTTTTGATTGGGTTGTCTATGGTGAATATGTATGGCTTCTAAAAGTCACTGGGAAAATAGTGTCTAACCTGTCAAATTACTCAAATTTTCCTTAAACCTCCTGTATTTCTTTGGGTCACTAAGTTCTGTCTTATTATCTACTGTAAATTTCACGTGGTTTTGTTGGTATCTCACAATCTATGTTTATCAAACCATTTCAACAATGTGACATAAGCATGTTATTTCTTCTTCATCTTCAGCTACAGATACAAATTTTGTTGAGGAGTTTGTCCAAGGATTTAATGACTTTAATCAATGAGAAAATATTGAGAATTGAACAGTTTGTAAATTTGTTTTGTTAGATAGTTATATTAAGAGTGTTTTACTTATTTACCTAGACTTGTACTAACTGCAAGACACTACTCACATTAATATCAAGTTATGCATCCTGCTTATGGCAATTCTATTCCCCTTTCTAATGTCCACACTTTTCTTCAAATGGATAAACTGGTTAACATTTGTTGTTGTTGAGCTTTTTCTCTGACTTTTCATCTATTCCATGCAGACAAATTACAAGCCACACAAAGTTCATTTGTTCATATAGATGGCACCATATTAGTAGACTAACTACTTTTTAATTAATTTGGCTTTTGTCATGTGCTGAATTTCACTTCAACGAAGCTAATGGATTTCATATTGTTTGTATGTTAGGTACGAAATTGACACAGATGCATTTCTTTCTGTTTTAGCCCTTCAACCAATTCCAAACATGGATTCTGTCCCCACTATAGTTGAGGTTTGTTACTTACGAGCAGCTTTGTGTGAAACTAAAAGAGCAGAAAATTTATTAATTAATGAATGTAGGTTTCAAGTTCCAGGACATGTGAGTTGATGAAGTCAATCTCAGCATTGAAAGTAGAGCCAGTAGAAAATGTTGCATCCAAACTATTTGTTCAATGCTCTCGGCAGAAGGGACTTATAAAGATCTACAGGCACTTGCTAAATTATCGAAGTACTGCAATTATGCTCTGTAAATTTCATGCATGTCATGTTCATACAGATTGCTTATTTCCCTATTTCTTTAATGTTTGTTTTGTATTTGTTTTATGTTCTGCCAAAATAATTCAGAAAAAATTTTTGCATAACTTAAATTTTCTTTTGATAGTTTGTGAATTGGACCTAGCAGCTACCAAATTATACATTTAGCAGGTTTCTAAACTTTAATTAGTTGTTATCAATGAAAATGAACTGGTGGAAAATTTCCTTAATTGTTGGTACCCTTATTCTGCCTAAATTGTGGTATCTTTGGGGATTGCTTTAATTGCGTTTCTGAAGGGATTTGTTTAGTCTAAAACTGCTTAGAGATATAACTTAAATAGAGTGTATAAATTTTAAGCGATTATCACCTTGTTTTCTGATTTTACGGAGTTAAGCTTTAAGCCCAAATTCTATGATGATGTTAGAGTCTATATTAGATCCATTGCAGGGCCACTCATATTGCTATTCCCCAGCTTCTTAGACGATATTCTAACATGAAGTGGTGTGTTAATTGTGGTTTCTTTGGGTACCTTAATTGCAGTCTCAAGGGGGGTGTTTACTAAGATATACGACTTAAATAGAGCTTATAAAGCTTGAACATCCCTTATTTTTTATAAGTTGGTTTTGAAAATTGATTTTGACTCTAGTTTCAAATTCTAAGATATATGAACATATTAAAGTGTTTTTCATTTCTTTTATCCTCTAATTTGCTTTGGAGTTCCATTTCCTAGTTTACTTGGTATTACACAAAAGAAGACTGAGATATTTTCCTTAAATTTGAAAAATGGTTAAACCTTCTATGATATTTTTTCAGTTGATCTACATAATCTCAAATTCTAATTTTTAGTTCTACTTGCAGAAAATGTATTCAATCTTCGTAGCTTGCCTAACGTAGAAGGAATGACTTACAGGCAAATAAGACATAAATTTCAAGAAGTAATTACTTTATTCAAATGTATTTCTTATCTGAAGTAATTGCATTGTAGACTTTTTAATGCTTTCTACCTTGATACTATTCCAGGTCGTTGTATGTGGTCTTTACCGGAGTGGGAAGTTAAACTTTCACCCAAACGATGGTGAAATTCTGCAGAAAGCTGACAAAGTATGTAGACTAATACATAACTTAGTCTAATTCTTCTTTATATGACTAGTGGAAACACATGTGCCTGTGTTAATGTGTATCCACTTTTCTATTATGATAATAAAAAATAGAAAATTAGTTCTTATCATAATTATTAAAATAAAAAAACATTATTAGATTTTAAAAGAAATATGTTCTTAAGAAGTAGTTATGAAATAAATAATTTTTATAATTTTATCATAGATAGTTTTTTTATTACAAGTAGTTAATTGAGTTTTAAAAAAAATAGTTATAAAACCTCAAGGGTAAAATAATAAAACGAGATATATTGATAAGGGTAGAATTGGTAATAAATTTTGTACACTAAAAATGGTGGTTATAAAATTGTTACAAAGAGAATCCTCTTTATTAATATGTATAGATGCAGAGATATATAGATATGTATAGATGTATAGATATCTTTCCGTTTTACCTTTTTGGAATGAAATTTATGAGAGTTTCTTGGTTAATGGTCCATTTGTTATTAAAACTTAAATGTGACTCTGATACTTTTCTGAAACTACTAAGTTTAATTATGAGAAAACAATAAGCAAATTATTTCTCTTAAAAACATTATGCAAGAATTATAACTACTTTTAAACATATCCTTTCCCACTGCCACACTTTTGCTTTCTTCAAATAGAGCCTAGGCTGGCATTATTATTACAAATTAACTTTGTCTATTTATCTATTATAAATAAAGAGTGAGAGAGTGTTGAATCATTTACATGTTATGATTAAATTTGTCAAATTGGTCCGATCCAAATCGATCAATGTTTAAATTTCGAAACTAGAAGGAGCCAAATTCTAATTATGCCTAAATTATTCTATGCATGACAATTTAAACCATAGTCTGTCTTTGGGTTTTAGAAAAGTATTTTTGTGAGCTTCATGTCATATTTTACTATAACTTTTCTTTTTTCAGTATATTAAGGACGTGTAAAAGTAAAAATAAACGAGCTTATCATAAATTTATTTTACTTAAATCTTCATTGATTTATGTTGCATCTTAATTCACTAGATTCTTGTAGGTCCAATTGGAATAGTAATCTATATTGATTTCCTGGGCAAGGATGTGTGTTACAAATACTATTTTCAAACTTAGCTGTTGCTTACCCGAAATACTAAGTGGGAATCAGGGAAGGGGATAGGGAGGAGAGACTGTGTATGGGAGAAATTGACAATGGTGGGATCAAACCTGATCACTGCCGGAGGCCGTCCAGTCCACTAACAGGACAATGACATGTTGAATAAATTTTATTTTACGTTAGTCAACTGTGAGAGTTTACAAGAATACGTTTTGATACTGCTTACCTTTCCTTTTTAGGTATTGTTTATTGGATCCCTTCAGAGTGCTAAAAATCCAGAAGTAACCCTAAATGGGAAAGAAGGAACACATGTAATTCATAATGAATACATACCTGAAAAGGATGTGGAACATGCCGTCAAAATGAGTAAAGTTAGGCTTGCTAATATTGTAAAACGTCCTACTAGAACAGGTTCCAAGGTATGGCACTTCCACTTCTCTGTTGTATACATGTTTTGATTGAGCACGATACCTTGTGTTCTATTTGAAATGTTAACCTTTATTGGTTATAATCATGTAGGCATCAGAAGGGAATGTTGGCCCAAAAGAATGCGTTCTTTTACTTGGATGGCGCCCGGATGCCCTAGAAATGATCCAAGAGTATGATAACTATCTTGGTCCTGGAAGTGTTTTGGTACGTCCTTGAATATCTGAGAATCTTTGTTGATATATACTTTTTTTTTTTCTAATTGGGGAGATAAATAAAATGTTCTTCCTCTTACCCCCACCCCCCCTCAAATAATAATAACAGTAATAATTAATGGCTAATCTCGATTGGGCCTGGAATGTTTTGGTAAGTTCCATATATTTGAATCTCTTACTCGGAGAAGAAAACTGAATACAAATCTATATTTCCAGTACAAGCTCTAATCCATATTGATAGGCTAAACTTATTTAAGGAAAAAAGAAAAATAAAAAACATAAAATCTATCCTGATAATAACAAATATGATTTGAAATTTTGAATATATACCATGAATAGTCCATCCTAAATTAATGTCTATTTACAACAACCTCTCAAGTTGGTGAATGAATCTCAATCATTCCCCACTTGCTAGCAAGTTCTTGTAACCTCACTGTGGTTGGTGCCAATTTAGACCGTGTGATTCTAAGGTGGTGTTTGGCACATAGAACGGAATGGAACATTTTAATTTATTCTCTTCTATTGCACCCTTTTGGTAGAACTAAACAGTTTTATTTTCCAACCTTTGGTCCTGCTAATGTCCTGTTTAGGGGGAAAGAGAAAAACATTCATTGAATCAAGATGTATGTTTGCAAAGAAGAGAAGGCTATATATAATAATAGTAATGTACAAACAAACTGAACAATAAAGAAAAAAGAATAATTGGTTATATATAATATCTACTTATATTTTGATTCTAGTATGTCCTTTTCAAAAAACTATATAATATAACCCATGTAATATGTTCCAATCCCATTCTAACATATCTGCCAAATGCTGCATGTGTTGCACATTTATGTTGTGAATCAAGTTGGACTATCACTTTAAAGGATCTAAGCTGGTTTACTTCTACTATATTTATGTTAATCTAAAATCCATTATCCCTCCAAACTACATACTTGTGCTACTGATGTGTATTCATCTTGAGTTTGAATTACTATTGAATGTAGTGAAAAATTATGTATGAAATTAATCTCTTGTGTAAACAATACACATAGGTTACTTTATTTATAATAAAACATATGTAAGTGTAAACATCACCTTATAAGTCAGTTTTGTAGAATTGAATTAGACTTAAAATTATCTTCTTAACAACTACCAGCAAAGTCATGACATTGTAGATGGTTTAGGGTGTAAGATACTGTTTGTGGTGTTATATTTAATTTTTCCTCTTTCTACATTATTTATGAATTCACTTGAAAGTTCAATACTTACCATTTCTGATTACAAATAATATGCAGGAAGTGTTATCAGACACACCATTAGATGACAGGATCACTAAGGCGTGCAACACCAGTGGTCATAACAAACTCAAGAATGTCCGAGTTTCTCACAGGGTATTTTCTTTTATAGTCAATTAATGTATTCAAACTTTTTTCGGGAAGGTGCTGTTTTTTATGAGATCTTTCACTTCTTTCAATTTTGGTAGATTGGAAATCCCATGGACTATGACACCTTAAAGGAAACCATTATGAATATTCAGAATTCTTTAAAGAACGAGGATCTTCCTTTATCAGTTGCTGTCATATCTGACAGAGAATGGCTTCTTGGAGGTAATTATGCGAAAAATCTTGTGACTGAAAATGGCCTTTGATTGACCAATGACTTTTTTTTTTCAGATCCATCTAAGGCAGACAAACTGTCTGCTTACTCTCTTCTCCTTGCTGAAAATATCTGCAACAAACTTGGAGTAAAGGTGATATTTTTACCTTCTATTTCTTGCGCTGAAAGCAAAAATTCATTTTGAAATATTAGTTATTCTTACAATATGGATAAAACATAGTTGGATTGAATTGGATGTTTTGCAGGTGCATAATCTAGTTGCGGAAATTGTTGATTCAAAACTGGGGAAACAAGTAATTCTTTTGTTTTGTTCAACCTTTCAAATTTTATATTGTGGTAACTTTTGGTTATGACATTATATGAAATGGTGCAGATTAGTAGAATCAAGCCATCAGTGACATACATTGCAGCAGAGGAAATAATGAGCCTTGTAACCGCACAAGGTCATTAATCTTTAATATCTTTTTGGTTTTGTTTGAATATACGTATCAATGTTAAATTTATTTTTCAAACTTGAAATCAGTGGCTGAGAACAGCGAACTAAATGATGTTTGGAAAGACGTATTAGATGCAGATGGAGACGAAATATATGTCAAGGTAAAATGTTTGTTCATCTTGTGATACTTCTTTTCTGTAAACATTCCCCCCAAGAAAGGTAATATGTGTGTGACTTTAGTGTCATGCTTTCTTTGAACTTTCCTTCCTTCATCTCCCGACATTCCTTTTGAGATAATGCAACTTACGAAATAAGTAAATGATATAAAATGATTTTGTCCCAGTTTGCTTACAGCATCGACCTGTGTGGTATGAGATAGACATGTTATTATAAAAGTTTCTGGCTTTTAAATTAGAACATAAGCATCAACCCACTCCATAAAATACAAACAAAAACAATGCTGTTGTAGCAGTGCAGTTGACTCTTGCTTTTTCATTGCAGAATATTGGTCTATACATGAAAGAAGGAGAGAATCCATCATTTTCTGAGCTTTCTGAGAGAGCATATTTGAGGAGAGAAGTAGCCATAGGATATGTGAAGAACAAAAAGAATGTATGGCATCAATAGTACAAATTTAATTTTAGTATTTCATTTGAATATCAACATGGTACTCACAAAACCCTTTTCCATTTCAGGTTATCAACCCTGTTCCCAAGTCTGAATCTCTCTCTCTTGAAATGACTGACTCCTTGATAGTCATATCTGAACTTGAAGGAGAGCAACCAGTTGTTTTGTAAAGCTGAATCATGTCAAGATTTTTTGTTTTGAAAATTCTGATCCCCAAAATTTGGGGCCATTGATTTGATGATTGCACCCAGGTGATTGATTGCAAATCAGGATGATTCAATATTAATGTGTTCTGGGATTTGACTTTTAGTAACAAGTTCTAGGAATTTATTTATCTATTATCTACCAATTGTGTCAAGTCTTGCCGGTAACATTGTTCCTCTGCTGTTTGCCACTTTTTGTTTTTACATTTGGCCTCTTTAATATAAAACTCCCCCTCTTTTTTCTTTTTTTTTTTAAAATTATTTCTAGAGATTTTAAATGAATTTGTATTTAAATTAAAAATTAAATTCTAGCTATTAAATGTTGTAACCAATTACAGGTTTAAAATTAACTATTTACTTTGTACTATCAAGGTATTGAAAGGATTATTAAAAGGATAATTTTCAAAGTTCAGGAATTTAAAAAGTAAATTTAAATATGTAGGAAAATATCTAAATCGGAGGGATAAACTTGTATTGAAGTCTAAATTTTATAATATTAAAAAAATATAGAATTATTGCTTTAATGTAGATTTTATTTAAGATGAATTTTCGTTTTTTTTTAAATGAAAACTGCTTTTAACTTTTTATTTGTAGTTTTTTGTTTAATTTTAAAACTTATTGTAAATTTTAATTTTTTAATTATAAAAGTTTGCTAAAATAATGTAAGACTTTTCACTGTAAGGAAAAACAAAAGGCAAAAATTAAAATTTTTATGAGCTCTTGTGTGATTAGTCTAAATTGGGTCATGCTTGAAATGGACGAAAAAAATCGATATTTAATTTGAAGTGTAATCTTATGTAATTGAGCCAATTCAAGTCAGATATATGTTGAGAGAGGAAAAAAAATCAATATCCAGTTGAAAATCTAGGATTATAAGTTTTTTGCAGCCTAAATTATTTTTTCATCTCTAGAAAGTAAGTTAAATTGGTTTAAAACCATTCAAACACAATTTATTTAATAGATTTGTCCTTAAAGTTATGTTTGAAAGAAAAAAATAAGGAAACTCAATTTTAAATTCATTTAAATTTTTAATAAATTTTAATTAGTAATAACAACCAAAAATTTAATAGGTTGAAAAAGAAATATTAAATTTAAAAAAAGGTTACAAATAATATTCAATCTCAAATTTCAGACCGAATCCCTCCAAGGGGTTTTGGGCGTGTAAGATAAGAGGCGAGCGAGAGTACAGAACAACAAAAAAAAACAACACACTCGGAAAAGAAAAATGGCTCACGGCGCTTATAGCAAGCGGCGCGTGAGTGCAACGCGCCGATCGAACTCGAAGCCTCTCGGTGTTGCCAAGAAACCCAAGCCCTCCGTTTCCCTCAAAAACCAGATTCGATCCTTGGAGCGTATGCTCCGAAAGGTAACCCTAACCCTATTCCTATCCCTATTTCATCTTGTCGATTCGTTTCTATTCATTCTCGGAATTGGTGAAGCAGAATCTGCCTCCCGAGGCGAGAGAAGCGCAAGAGCAAAAGTTAGAAGCACTGAAGAAGCAGCAAGAGATTCACACACGCCTCGCTGCGGAACGCAAGATTTTTTTACGTGACCGGAAGATCAAGTTCTTCGAGAGGAGGAAAATTGAAAGGCGAATCAGACGCCTCGAGAAACTGCACCGTGCCTCTTCTTCATCATCTTCTTCTTCTTCTGCCCAACCTTACTCTGACCAGCTTTCCGCTCTAAAACAAGATCTTCAATATGTCATGGTTCGTGTTCCGCGCTCTTTTCTTTACTTTTTTTTTTCTTGCGTTGACATTACGACGAATATTGACCGAAAAAAGAATCTTATTATTATTCAAAATTAATTTCAATTTGCAGTACTTTCCAAAGAATGAAAAATATGTCCCCTTGTTTACCGGCGGTGATGATTCAGAGATAGTTGACAGGAGGAATGGGCTGCGCAAACAGATTGAAGATAGGTTGATTGCAGCTGCTGCAAGTGGCAAGGATTTAGAAGGTTCATTAATTGTGAATTTTTATAATACTGATTGTCATCAATTATGAATTTAGAATGTCGGTGCTCTTCAAGAGCTTGATTTTTGCTGTGTGAGACCTTGTTGATACGAGTTGTCAATAAAATAAGGAAAACTAGGTTGAAGCTATGCTGTATACTTTTAAATATGCCACATTTGTGTTCGATCAAATGTCAACAAGATTTCTGCTGCTGTAGCAGAGACTGGCAGTGAGGATGACGGTCTGTTGGATCTGAGTGATGATGATTTTTTCCTTGCTGGGAGTTCTAGTGATGAAGCAGATGCAGATGATGAATGGACAGACAAAAGTGCAAGGTCAGTGGAGGGGAGATGTTTTACTACTTTAGTAATCATATCAACGAGAATTTCATATATACACTGTGTGCATTACCTTTGATATGAAAACTCCGCATTTGTCCAGCATTGTGCCAGGGAATTTGGAACTAACGATTAAGATGCTGCTAGCATGTTTTATCTTGATGAAGTCTACCAGTATTAATTTTTTTTTGTTGGTTGCAGAGAGCAGGCTTCTAGTGCTTCTGGGAAAGGTGTGTCTGGCATGTCCAGTGATGAAAAAAACCAGGTCTGTAGTAAGAGTAGCAATTTTTGTCAGTTTTAATTTGCAATATTTCATACCATGAAATAGATAGTTACAGAATATTTTCAAATTTTGAATATCTCGCCCCTTTTTTATAGAGGCAGATTTCTGCTAGAGCTTTGATGCCTCCTCCTCGCCCTTCAAATATGAAATTGTCAAGGTTTGGGTCATCTTCTGGTCAACATTCATCCATACAGAGATCTGATATTTCCACATCGAGCAACACGTCAAATAGCAAAAGCAGCTCAGACTTCAAAGTAAGGGGACCCTCGAGATCAGGGACAGGCCATGGAAGTAGTTTAAGCTCCAACTCTGATGCTCACAAACCTCGGAGGAAGAGAAGACCTAAGAAGAAAAAGAAACAGGTTTATTACCTTTGCCTAGTCTTGAGTTTTATTAACCTTGGTCATTTATAGAAAATTAGCCTCCTATTCTATTGCTGATAGCTAGGTTTTGAAGCATCTTTACACACCCTCTTTAGTCTGTTCATGTCTATTTAGTTTCTTCCTTGCACATATTGAGCACTAAATCTGTTCATGGTGGTCAATTACGGTGCTATCACACTGCCAATGCGAGTTGCACAGATCCCTCTCCCCAAATTCTGTTATGATGGAGTAGGCATGAATTACAGGAAATTGCAGTATTGCACCAATTTTGGGCGTAAAATTCTCACTTTGTTGATCTATCTGCTATATGTTCCTTTGACCAAAAACAATATCTCCGCCTCAGTTTTGAATTTCCAGCAGAAAACCCCTCCTAATTCTAGCTGCAGGGTGGTCTTCTGGCTGTGTGAGCCTCTTATGTGCGCCAGTGGTTTTGTGGTCGACTCCACTTATCCGATTATCTGCTTGGCATCATTTTTTGGCCTAGGATGACCTTTTTCTTTGGTCCCTAATTATCTGGCTGTATGAGCATTTTTTGGTCGGATAATTTTCAGAGTAACTGCAGGCTGCAACCCACGGATTTCACCCTCTCTTTATTCACACACACTATCAGAATGGTTTGTTTCTGACCATAGTTGTTCTCTGCTCCCTAATGTGTCGTAGGTCTGATTCCTAGAAATTCAGTTTTTGTGTTGTGTATGCCACAGCTCAATAATTTTGAGCCCATGCCATTCTTTTTCCCCTCATTAATTTCTACCTCTATTCCTTCCCTCTCCTTTTCTATGCTCCTTGACTTCTATTGTGGTTAACTAGTTAGTCTTGCTCTAGATTGATGGTGGTTGTTTGTATACATCATTTCTTTTTTATGATAAATGAGAATATGCCTTTAATTTTGATAGTTTTCATTCTTTGAACATTTATGTGTTGTATTCATAATCTTTAGAACAACTTTCATTCCACTGTGCCCATAGCATTTTCTTTTGGCTGCTGCTCTGTACTGTCTTAAGGTTGACTATCCTGTTTCTACCGGGAATACTCTTCAAATAAGTATAGGATAATAAAGTTATGCATCTTAGCGTCATTGTGTAGAAATGATGTCTTGTGCAAGTAGTTTCTTGATTATCAAATAATTATGCAATATTTACTTTCCTTTGTTTTCATCCTGTCTCTACATGTGCAAGTAGTTTTTTGATATCAAATAATTTTGCAATATTTACTTTCCTTTGTCTTCATTCTCTCTTTAATACGTAGTTTTTTTTTCCAGCTTTAGGTGCGGTAAGCATCACCATAAGCAATTGGATTTGTCATCACATTAATTCGTTGTCTTATCTGGTGGTGGGAGCCTGTTTCACACTGGTCAATATGATGATCATATATGTATTGACTTTGTTAGGTTAGATCAAGAATTGTTACTATAGATTGTCTTTTTCTGTGGGCTCTTCATATTTAACAATGGCTTACTGTAAATTATATTGAACTTCTGATTTATCTGTGGGATAATATTTTACCTTTTCGGCTTACTGTCAAGTTGGCATACGGCAGAGATGGCACGAAACAAAATTGATTCGAGGATAATGATACTATGTTTTAGTTTAGGCTTAAAATACAATTTGTTTTTACTTGAATTCATATAATTTTTTCCTTATGGTTTCGGATTTCAACTGATCTGCAAAGTAATGAATCAAATATATCTTTGACAGGGAGCATATTATTATTGGCATTTAAACTTTTATTACAAAACCAATGGCAGTGACTTAAAATTATATTTTTTAATATAGTATTATGAATTAAGTGAAATTTTTATTGGAATAATCGAATAAGTATGCCAACAGTCATGGTTTCAGGTTATGAATGTTTCTTGTGAAAGTTATTATTTTCAAATTTGTTTAGGTTCCTTTATTTCATAATGATTTATGGTAATATTGTTTTATGGAAATTCAATTTTGAAGATGACAAAACGGGTTTGTCCGAGGTTTGGCGGGGTTGGGCGAGTCCAACATTAGGAAATGAGTAGAAATTTTATGTTACCAGTCATGAAATTTAAATTTATTACCATGGATTTATGTTGTCCCTTTTAGAAGACAAGCTCTTCATTTTCTTGACACAGTTTCTTTTGGAAGAAATTCCTAACATGTTTTATTGTATGAACAAATATTCCATCTATTTGTATGAATACCTAATTTCCAATTTCCATACCT